CCCACAGCCCCACGACATGTCCGCGACAAGCGAGAGAAAACAGGGAGCAAATAAGAGGCATAGACATACCCTGGAGATCGGCAAGGGTTGGCTTTTCTGTCTTGCGGAGCCAATCCCTTCCATCTGCTAGCAATGTCGATTCAAGAAAGTCGAAAGCACGCTTTACTTGAACCATCGCCTCGGCCCTAAGACTGGGCATATCCTCCATCTTCAACTTTAGCCCCGTTATGAAGGAAGATCTATCCTTTAAAAATGCCGGGTTCTGTAAGGCTGGCATGTCAAACGGCATCAGTAGAGCTGCGTTGAGGAACAGCCCTCCATCCGTCGCCCAGGTTTCAAGTAAGTTCTCCAGAGCTTTCCCATCACTGTCTGTGGCCCCAAGCTTCCCGTTTGGGAACTGCTCCTCGAGCTTTTTAAGGATCAATCGACTATCACAGTATATGTCTTTCCCAATGCTCAAAACGGGAATTCGTCGGTACTGGACGCCGAGAGCCGCCAGGTCCGGCCGTGGCAGAATAGGTGGTTGTAACTGGTGTTTCTGTCAGCATGCATGCTCCTTGCCACCTTGACGAGAAGATACTTTTTGCATACACATTGTTTGTGCTGGATCCCACGAAACGTAAGGTACCTTTAAACCACCAGTTAGTCAAATAATCTTTCTATTTCGATATCTCGATGTTTGTTATAGGCCCGCATTGATTACGTACCACGAAACTCGTCTCCCATATGGGGACAGCGAATAGTGAAATAGTACCGGCGTTACTTCAGAAGGCATAATTGATTACCTCGTACGGAGTATGCTATCCTAGTTCAGGGCTGATTATCTTGAGTAAATGAGCTTCTTGACTTCCCGACTTCAAATGGGAGTTTCAAGGGTTACTTTATTTCTTCTGAACCTGCCATTCGAGAGTTGCGCCAGGGGATTCGACATGGAAGCCGAGGTTCGGAGTACAATGGAAAACAGTTCATCCGCTCTCCGTCGCTTGTTTGACCAATAAAAGCAATATCCTCGCTTAACTATATCTCGCGGCAAACAGCCACTACGGAACCATGGGTAAACTACCTAAAAACCCCGCTTACTAGGGCACTCCTTAAGTCTGATCCACACTTACATTGTAACTAGGGCCTCGCGTCTATACGTCTATACAATGCTACCACAGTGCTTAACGAGCAGCTACCTGCAATATAAACAAGATACCAATGCTGTGGCATCGTGGCTCGCCAAAACCGCTAAAGCCTGTGGGTACAGTAGTGACCTGTAGGGCCACGAAACTCCCCAGCCGAAAAAGAGTGGTAGAGCGAAAGGGAAAGCAAGGAAAGCAGCAAAGTCTCACGCCAATGCAATAACTAAAAACTCTACACCGACCAAACCACCGACATATGTCATTGCCATTCGCGACTTTGTCCCTCTGGCCGAAAGTATTATCAATTACAAAGCTCCTAGAGTCCGAGTCCCGTCCACATTTAGCACCGCCTTAACGCGAGCTATATCTGCAAGACGAGCTCATCATAGCATCCTTGGCGAGAAGAATGGAGCGAAACAAGATGGACATACTCATTTTATCAGCGTCCTTGAGCGTGTTCAAAACATTCTACAGCCTTTGTTCTCAGACCAGAATCAGGATACCTTGGCTAACAAGTTCGACAACCTTGACGTTGAAGAGCCTTCGGAGGAGTCTGCTCCAGCTCCAGATACCACATTCCCAGAGACTTCAGAATCCGATGCAGATGCAAGTTATGAAGCAGAAAAAGTACAAGACCTCGATGAGATGTACAGCGCGTTTTGTCTTATCATCCAGGATTATCATGATTTCCGTGTCGCGATACAGGAAACATGGATGGGCTACCGGCAAGGCGTGTTCGATCTCGTCTCTGCGTCAATCATGACTAATACAGCTCTCGAGTTTGCGCGTCGGTTAGAGAAGGATGCTGCACCACTGTTCGACAAATTTGGTGGCTCAGCGATGGTTATGGAAGTAGTATTTGAGGCGCAATGCAAAGGTATGGGGGAGGATAAATACTTTAGGGAACGACCTGACGACGACCTTAACTTTCGTGTTTGGGAGGCCGCGACACAAATTTACTTTCCAACCTACATGTTTCTCCAAGGATTTGTTCTCATGGTAAGTAATCACAATATGCCCATCATCAAGCCTGGCTATTATGGCATTTACGACCCTTCCAGCGACCGAACAAAGAAAACGTCAAGGGAGAAATTCAAAGAGGATAAGATAATCCTTTCAGAGCAATTCACTGAGTTTGCATTACTCTGTATCTGTGCTCCTGACCTGTTAGCAGCAGATGAATTTATACTCAGCTGTAAGGAGGCGTTCAAAACCCACACAGTCACTCTCTTCCTCTCATTTGCAACACAAGTGTATCTTGACATCCATCATACGCTACGTGCGGATGTGCGACGTGGTCTTTCTGATTTGATGGCCACAGCCGAGATGATTGATGAGTCGATCAAAGAAAACCTTCAATATCATAAATCCCTTCGTATTATGGGGTGGCCTCGGTCCAATGATGCCGTCCTGGAAAAGATTCAACAGTACATCGATCTGTGGGTCAACAGAGACCCTGTCGGAGAGGCTAGAAGGAGACTCAAGCAGCCTCCTAAGGAACACCACATGATGTTGTCCTCGCATCCTTTATTATGCGGGTTAATTACCTACAGCCTAAAAGCACCATTCCAAGAACTCAGCCTGGCATTTACAGACGCATGGGGGTCCATATTATATACCTACCATCTCTACCATGCGGTAAGACAGGAAAATCTGCTCCGGAACAAATGGCTAGATATGGATGTCATAATGGGAATTCAAGAGAAAGTTTTTGTTGGAGATCAACCTAAAACTCCGGAAGATTATCTGAAACAATTTGCACTAAGTATGGGGTGGTCTGCAGCTGCATTCGCAAAAGATAGACGTCAAGGAGCCTTACCCGTTTCATCTCGTGGTCCCAAATACCTGAAAGAACTTGCACCAGTTGCACAGATGTTCAAATCAAGATTCTCCGAGGGCTCCCAGCAGACAGATTGGACGACGGCAGATATTGAGCAAATTATATCCAAATCTAACTAGCATTGGGATGAAGAGGATTCTCCCTCAAGGGATATACGAGTATATTCTAGGTCTCAAACGAATAAGGAGCGAAAGGAACCTACCTCGGGACCAGTGAATGTGGCCGAACTATTGAAACAACTCCGGAACGCTTTAAATGCTGAATGCTTGGAGCTTAGTATACCATATCTCTCATTGCACCGAATATGCTGGTCGGTTCTTCGCAATATTCATGAGCACTGTAAATCAACTCTTCGAGGCATGTTTGGAGGTGGCTACATGGAAAGGGAAAATCAGCTACCTTTTATTGTGGGCTATATATTTATGGCTGCAACAAATACGAAAAAGCTAGCGGGTCTGTTGGGGGCTCAAAAATCGGATGAAGTTACTAGCAAGTTGCTCCTTGAAGCAGCTACCGTTATGGATGAGTGTATAGAGAACGTCGGTGGGCAGTGTTTTGGCATGCTAAGACAACTCAACATTTTTGTCGCAGGTGATACTGATGATGACGATGAGGGAGAAGGGGAAGAAGATAAAGATGAAAACAACTGAAGTTGGATCTGAGGGATGGGGCCTAGGTTCCTAGATCCCACACACTATGCATAGGGAGATTTTCGGCAATATCTAGTTACCGAGACAGAGGAAACAACACTTAAAGACTCTGTCTATTCTCCTCCCTCGAAAAGAAATCGATTGAGTCATTCAACTGCTTCACTCTCTCTCCCCATGTCAACCCAGAATAGAGAATTGAACATCGTCAATCAAAATTTGACTTATATCATTTATACCACTATACACACACATTGAACTGGTAGATCAAACGGTACCCGGTCTGATTTGAATTATCAGTGGAAATATAGCATTTTTTCCCTGTTTCACTCAGCGGCACAGTTATAACTGCGAGTCTTAGCTCTCCAACTCATCTTCCGTAGGTCATCATAACCGGGATAATGAATTTGAAGCTCCGATCCCTGACAGTTTGATTGCCTATTCAAAGCATGTTAATGAATAAAGCCCATTTGCTGACATGGGGGGTAACGTACGAATATAAGGTACACCAGCTTCCTTTGTCAGAACCAGCTGCGTTCACACCATTGACTCCGCCGTTTCCAGAGGGGAATTGGTCAGTGATCGTTACTGTTATGTGAATTAGTACGTGCCAGGATCGAAAATCCAGGGAGATAGGCCATGCCAACATACCACAGCTCCCGAAGGCGGTTCGATAGTACTCGCAGTGGCCGACAAATCCCGCTCCCGAACAAAGATACAACCCTCCATGAGATCCCTCTGGAAATACGCGTGGATCTCCATTGCCCTGTCTATTCAGGACTTGTTGGTCATAGGGTGCAGCGTAGGTGGTAATGGCAAGGGATAGAAGGGTAGTAAAGCTCAGGAGGAATCCCATTTTGGATTGTGTTAACTGGATGAGATGGTATTCAAAAGGATATCCGGGCAATTGTTATAGGAGATGGGCTCAGTTTCGAAAAGAATAAGTTGATATTTGGATACACAGATCTCGAGGAATCATAGGCCTTTTATAGCCTATGTTTGGATAGAGAATGAACGTCATTTTGCTGTTCTAGTCTTTCCACAATCAATTTCAGCCCTTGAAGATGCAGTTATCGCTTAATTGACTCAGCCGTTCCAGCTGAAGTCCATGCCCTTGTCGTATGAGCATATATCATGCTATATGATGTTGGCATTGATGCAGCTAAAGGACGACTCGCTCGCTTCGCATCTGCAAGTCCACGTAGCGAGTTACAGAGGTAAGTAACTGCCTGGTTACATCCGGCATAGACCAATCCAGCCCGCTTTAGCTGCGAAGCAAAATTATTATCACGCAAACAATGAATATTCAGCTGTGTAAACTAGTTACGCCAAGGACGTATAACCAGGTAGTTACTAGGTAATCATTTGTTGGACACAAGGGACAAAAAGGCGTAATGCCCCAAGGATACCTTGGGTAAGAATGCGAGTCGTAGCTAAAGTGGAATATTTCAACACCATTTGCCATAACAGGTAGTTAATTAAGAGGCGACGCGAAGGGAGGGAGAAAAAGAGGAGAGCAAAAAAGAACACTAAAGTGGGTGATCATAAACATGCGGATCGTCAGGATTCGCCGGTGGTCACCCACCCAACGGAGAATAGCCCTTTACGCGTTTGAGGTGACGAGCAAGTATAATTATTATAATAGAGGGGGGGTTCATAAGAATGTAAGAAAAACAGCAAGGTATAGAGTAAATCCCACTAAATGGGCAACAGAAGAGCAAAAAAAGATGGGTGATCAATAAAAAAATACATACGACAGTCGGGATTCGCTGGTGGTCACCCACCCAACTACTAACCGACCGGCAAGTGGCTTAAGTACAGCTGAGCGGACGGGAAGCTCTGTTTTCCACTTCCTGTGGTCGTATGTGCTTGATACTTAATTGACAGCGTTGATATAGGGTTGTTGCATTTTGACTCGTCAATTTCTTATGGGAGAGGACGTGCGTTGGATATAAAACACTATATATATGTAGGCGGAAAACCAGATGGCAAAGGGTAAGTGAGGGCAGAAAAAAATCAATTTTCCTAATCAAGTGCTGGAAGCACCATCTTTCGCATCTATTTCCTCTCGAGCCCTTTCGGGAGATGGGATCCACGGGTCTGCATCACCAAGCTTCTGGGCAACCAATCCTGCATTGCCTGGGTTTTTATATTTCGCTGCAAGCTGGCGCTCGTAACTCACGTTCCTCAACCTTTCATGCTCGCGGGGTGTAAGACGCAGATACAATTCAATGCCCACGAAATGTAAGAACGTTGCCACCGAGCCTGCGAGGACGGACTGGAGTTGTATGCTTGCCCCAATGGCGGCTGGATCAGAAGCGCCTAGATCAGCTCTGACAGGGGCGTAAAGTCCAGCATTACCCAGTCCCGGAGAAATGGTGGTATTGCACATTGGGTATGCGCTGGTATAGGGTGTTGAAATATTGTAGAGCTTCCAGGTGAAATCAATCTGGTCGCAGGGCCAAGTGACGTAAAATTCGTTCGCGAGGGAGCGGAAAATGGGCAAAGATATTTGAATGAGAGGCCGCATGGTTACTATGCTTCCCATATAGAACATGGCTCGTAACATCCAGGCTCGGTGTTGTTCGATTTGCTTCCGGCGAATATTGATGTAGGCAACTATGATGGAGGTTGCGGAGGCGAGAACAAGTACCCCGTTATTGAACCGCGAGGTCGGGCTACCATCGAAGGCGTGGGGGGTGATTATTATCACACCCGCGCTTGAAACCAGGAAAAGAAGCATGATAACGTATCCGTTCAGTCGATGGAATAAAGGAGCCTTGTATCGAATTATCGGGACGAACTGCAGAATCACAAGGAGCATACAAGGTAGAATTGCTCCCAGATGTAACATGATGCCGACCTTATAGAGGTTTTGTCGGTAATAGTACCATTCACCGGGGATAATGCCTTCTCTGAACTTGTTAATGTCTAGGTACTGAAGACGGGACAATGTAAATTCAAATAGCCCACCGGCAAAAATGAAGAAGAGGATGAAGTTGTATGATCTCTTAAAACCAACAGCCCCGATTAGGCGGTGCCAAAAAGATGCGAACTGTGATTTTGCCATCGGTAAAGGTTGTAATAAGGGAAAGATCAAGTTAATCTTTAACGGTGATTGATATTGTTTCTCTATCAGTTCCAGAGAGAATCAAGGACATTAGAGGAGCTTTTAAAGCCATCTCTGCAGTTATGAAATCAGGCTGTAGCTGTTGATGGCAGCTGGGTTCACTCAAGATTGATGATCGGTGGCTATCAAAATTGCCTGAAAATATAACTACTTATAGGCGGTTCAATGTGGAATATCACCGATTTATGGGTATAAACATGCAGTTTCATTCCAGATGTGGTCAAATGTTGGGCTGCTAAAGAACAAGATGATGTGTACAAGGATGTTGTGACTTATAACGGCTGCGGCTGGTGTTGAGCGTGATAACGCTTTTCCTAAAAAGGGCATTACTTCGCAGAGCTCGCCATATTTAGCCATTCTTTGGCTCCTCATTGGAGGCTGTGCGAAATCCAAGCCGCAGGCGGTTACGGCCGCGGGAAACAACGAATTATTTATCGGCTTGACAATGCCCATATAACCACTCACTAGATTTTCTCACCAACAGTGTGACTCCGTTCATGATGGGTCAGCGGAGTAGCCCCTCAGGCAGTTAGTGCTGATAAAACATCTGCGTGAATCAGGGTGTTCCGAAACGTGCTGTGGAATGACTCGGAGATAAATGGAGTTTGCTGATAAGCCAAAAGTCCTTAGGCTGACAAATACATAACTAGCAACAAATAGGCTTTTTTATATGTACGCTAAGTGGGTCCAACAGGGGCCAGCACGGACTATTTTAAGGTTAGTTAGCGCCAAGTCCCTAACTTTCTCGGGCAAAGGCGTGGACGCTCATCTCCATAGATGCCGGATATAGAGCCGGTGGAAAAAAGGCACAGACTGCCCGCAGGGTACGAGGTCTGGCCGGCTATGGAACGTTATGTTGGCCCTCCATGAGACGTGGGCGAGCATTCCGCTTTTCCTGACTCACTCCGGTAACTAGCAGCTTGCCCGTTAAATATTTACCCCTCACCTTTCACAATCCGACTTCAGATACCCTGTTTACTTTCTCTCACTACGCAACGACTCTTACCGTCTCATTCGCGGTCTAAGGGCTTCTCTCAGTACGGGATCATGAAGCTCTCTAACATATTCCAGAGGCCGCCTCGTTATGTCGTGGCTAGTATTTTGTGCTCCCTCGGGGGGTTTTTGTTCGGAGTTGACACCGCAATCATTGGCCCAGTGACTGTGATGCAGTCATTTACCAGTGCATTCGGCCATCCAAGTCCCACGCTTCATGGACTGATTGTATCTTCGATTCTTATCCCTGCCGCCATTTCCTCCTTTCTAGCTGGCCGTGTTGCAGATGTGCTCGGCCGGCCTCCAGCGATCGCCATCGGTTCTGCTATTTTCGGCCTTGGTGCTGCGATTGAGGCTGCTGCGGTGCACCTCGGCATGTTTGTTGCTGGCCGAGTGGTTGCCGGTATTGGTGAAGGCCTCTATTTGGGCACCTTGGTCGTGTAATTACGCCTTGCCTACGCCATAAACTTGGACATTCGAAACTGTTCTAATGCTTGTTACAGGTACATATGTGAAATCTCGCCCGCCAGGCACCGTGGAAGCCTCACCACTGGACCCCAGCTTCTCATCACTTCTGGGCTCGTGGCTGGTTTCTTTACATGCTACAGCTCTGTGAAAATTGTCACTACCCTCTCCTGGCGGCTGCCATTTATCCTCCTTGCTTCATACTCTGCTACCTTTGCAGTGATTGCCTACGTGTTTTTGCCACCTTCTCCAAGATGGCTAGCTGATGTATACGGCCAAAACACAACTGCAATTGACGCAGCATGGGATCGTTTGGGTGTTTTGCATGCTGACCGAGAAGATATGCCTCAGCCAAATGAGAGAGAGGAGCCTAAGACAAGATCTAAGGTCAGTACAACTTTGCAACCATATCTCCATATTCAATTGTCTTCTTTCTTTAAAAGTATACTAATTGCAATTGTTCTAACAGATGCTCGATGTCCTTTCTGCCGAAGCCCGACCAGGTTTCCTACTTGGTATCTTCCTTATGGGTATGCAGCAGCTAAGCGGAATTGATGGTGTTCTTTATGTACGTTTTCATCCTTTTATATATTTTCAACTTCCTCTAACATTATACAGTATGCCCCTTTACTGTTCCAACAAGCTGGCCTCACTTCCGCAGGCGATACATTCCTTGCATCAGGTGTCTCCGCTATAGTTATTTGTGCTGTTACAATCCCTGCTACGATCTGGGCAGATAGCTGGAGTCGTCGCCGTAACACAATATATGGTGGGATTGGAATGGCCACAGCCATGTTTGTTATTGGTGGGCTGTACGCTGGAGATGCAGTACATTCCTACGGCCCTGGGCGCTGGGTTGTTGTCGTCTCTATTTACATCTATACGGTCATCTTTTCTATCTCTTGGGCTGTTGCCGTCAAAATTTATGCTGCTGAAATCCAGCCACAGAAAACTAGAGCAAGCGCTACCAGCCTCGCCCACGGTAGCAACTGGGTCACTAACTTCCTCGTCGCCCTCATCACGCCAACACTGCTCGCAAATACTAGTTACGGCGCCTATTTTCTTTTCGGCAGCTGTACCCTTGCCACAGCTATAGTTTGTTGGTTCTTTATGCCTGAAACTCGCGGCCGTACACTGGCTGAAATACAACAGGCCCTTCGTGCTAGTCGTTCTACTGGGGTTGAGACTCCTGCAACCGCGCTCTGGAGAAGGGCACGGAGAGCCCCTGCTATTACAGTGACGGAGAATTGAAACGGCAGTGACCCGAGCTATCTTACTAGAAATTTTGGGTAGTATTTGGCTGTAACGGGTTGATAACGTCTTGGTTGCCAAATCGCACATTCCTCTTTTATCATGAAAAGTTTTTGATTTTAGCAAGCGATTCATAGTGATAGCCGATTAATAGGAGTTACCATGAGTGATATTTCAATTCTCAATTTGGAGCTCATTTAAGCTGACGGTACTTTTCTTAGCAGCTTTGGGTTTAAGGGAGCTAGAGATGAGTGAAGTACTCTGGAGGCACTTGAGGCAACATTTTCCAACGTTTTCCAACATTCCCTGTAGCTCAATAGGAGTAATCAATTGAACCCAGTGACCTCAGTCAACGGTGTATCTTGTCATTGCTATGATACAGTCTCATAAGGTGTGCTCCGCAGGGTTAGACCACAGTGATAACGGCTGAAGTTCTCTATTCCTAACAAACTCAGCTGTGCGTTGATGCCGGCGTTAGATTACTGTACTTGGCGCCTTACACACCGGCTACAATTCCATTGAAGAATTCTTGTTGACTTAGAAGGTTACATCAAGAAAGCCTGGGCGACATATAAGGAGGATCCCAATCAAGGGCTTAAAGCTTTGCTTCAGCGGTGCATTGATGAAGTCGGCTCAAGAGAGGAGAGTGCAGAAGGCCACTTTCAAAATGCTGGTATAACAGTCGAGAATATGTGATTGCATGTTAAGGATGAGAACACCGGCTCGGCCACCAGAGTTCCTTTGTATTATTAAGCACCTATAATTCCCTTCCCTAGATTTTTGGGACAATAGGTTTTGATGAGTATCACTATAGCGTAAAATAGGCCTCAACTGTTCTCGCTAATGTGATCCGTCGCAGAACGTTAACTTTGACTTTCCCATCCGAACGCAGGGAAGGCAAAGCCCAGTGTGCTCTTTTAAGCGGTGTATTGACCACTGACGGTCCTTTCTAAACTCCGGTACCTCATGTTTGTAATCGTATTGACAGGGAGCACTCCGTTCATCGGGGACCGGGTCTGGAATACTCTCTGCTTGCTCTATTGCCTTAGAGATGGTGACTAGGCCCGTTGGCCAAAGACCTTGGTGGCGGAGCAATTCCAAATATGCATATGCATATTTGCTTGTCCACCCACACTTGTGGACACACATTCCACCGCTTGTAATTCCGCCGATGAGTATATCTCCTAGTTTAAGTCTCGCAGAGTTCCTTTGTTCTTCTAGAAAACCTGATCCGACTGGTCAGCCATACATACTATGAGCCAGAGGAGTCGACCAGAGGTCCGTACAGAATACTTTCCAGCCCATTACCGACCCGATATTGTCAGTAAAAAGAGAAATGTATGAGCCTCCGTAATCAAGTATCAAAGCTTTGGTAAGATCCCTGAAGGCTTGTGCGTTCTGGAAAGCGTATGCTGCCGCAGTTAGGTTCATTAGGTCATTAGCTTCCATACCCTGAGAATACAACAACCAAGATGCGCTCGCAAATCTTAGGGCATCAATGAAATTGTATTTATCTGCCGTAACAGCAACTTTGAGGATATCATCGGAAGCTATCGCACCAGGCACCATATCGTTTCGATAGTGTATGATAGCACAGATATACTTCATTGCCATCGCATTGTCTTTAGGTAGGGGCACCTCCGTGGACCCGTTTTCGAGTAGATCACGGCCTTCTTTCCAACTCGGGCTTAGCATGGTAGAAAAGACTTGTGAAGTTGCTTTCATGGTCAGCGAGCGTACACGTAGTCTGACGTTTTCTGGCCCAACAACTAGAATAACATCACCATCCCCAGCGATGTCCACGATTGCCCCAAGTTCACTGTTTCCAGCCATCTCGGATTTGAGAGCAACACGTCTTATAGGCGAAGTATCGTTTTGGAGATGCACGTAGGCTGTTAATGAAGGTTAATCTGTAGTTAACCATTTGATTGAAATAAGCGCTAAATTGGAATTCATCTAGTGTTTCTTGGTGAAGCCCACATTTTTGAGCTGACCTCAGGTCGGGACCTAACGGGCCATCTTTATTCCGGACACCACTGGGGCTGCATCCGACATCATGTATGGTTGGCAAGAGTAATGTTGTAATTCTTTTGCTTTAATCACAAACTCAACAGTAGCGGCTCAGTTCAGTTAACTATTATGAGTGGAAAAGCTCACAACCACATTCAACCCATCACCACCACCACCACGACTGTATAAATAACAGCCGACTCATAGCGCATCTATTTGGCATCATTAACTAATGCTATCTGAGGTAATCTTTTCGAGTGGCGAGCTTCTATTTACACGTGGCCCATTCGCAGAATCATGGATGAAACTAAGGGTAGTTCCCAGTTTGATCCCTTGCTTCACAAAGAAATCGGGGTCGGAATACTCAAAGATGAGCTCAAGGTGCAAGTTATTTTCTAGGGTCACTTTGCAAATCTTCCGGAAGTCAGACTTGTATGCCTCATCGGTGGCCTCGGATTCCAGCCACTCGCAGTAGTCCTTCACGGCGTGTTCTGAAATCTAGGAAGTGCAAGCTTCTGCGGAGGGGATGGCTGCCTGGTTGGCGATGCTGGAGTCACTGATGTTCGTCTCCATTGATATTAACCGGAACATATGATATTCTCATATCTGGAGTATTATCAGCTTTGTTCGATTTTTTCCCTACCTAACTATCCTGAATCACTCGGCGGATATCATTTGGAACATCATCATGGCTTATAAGGTCGCCGCCCTCATCAACGTAATTAATACTTAAGCCGTCCCAAATGTGGGGCTCCCAGCGAAGCGAGATACATCGCGTTCGATTTTTGTCCCATGAAACTTCAACAATATTTCTATTAGCAACTACTGATTATATGACTATGTAGTTACCCCGTACACATGGTCACTCCATTGTGATTACAGCCCTGAATCGAACGGTTCCCTTGACCATTGCATCTGAGGAAGGTTGTTAGCCACTCATATACCATATTGTGTTTGTGAGAGGAACTCACCATATGCCTCGTTGACCTTTGCTAGTGGGAATGTTTCCACCATGCAATTGATTCCCTCGAGTTTTGCGAATTCAATGGCATCTTCGGAGTCTGTGGCGTGGCCACTGGGCCAGCACTGAACCGACAGACCACGGCGTACCTGGTTCTCAAATCAGTTGGCTGATTCTCTATAAGGAAAGATTGAATCGCGGCCAATATGAACTTACCATGAGGCCAGTATTTATAGTAATATCCCCGGGGACTATAGGGGTGAATCAGCAAAAGCTCAGAATCAATATTGAGCTTAGATTCTTAAAAGACTTACCGGATAGAACGAGAAGTTTGCCCAGCATTCCCAAACCCTTGAGAAGTGGCTCCACGGCGTTTTTGCTCGGCGCTGTCGAAACGATCATATCCACTCCTCCGAGTTTCTGCAACTGCTCGCCGACATCACCCTTGCTGCCGTCTATATATATGTGGGCGCCTAGATCTCTTGCAAACTTCTCCTTATCAGACCCCCTAGACAAGGCTACAACCCGATACCCGAACCTGTTTGCATATTGAATTGCTAGATGGCCCAGGCCGCCAAGCCCCTGAATAGCGACTGTAGAGCCGGGTATCAAGTTCATGTTGCGCATGGAGTTGAATACAGTCACACCGGCGCATAGTATGGGGGCGAATTTTGCTGCATCAACATCTGGTGGAATTCGCACGCCGGCCTCGGAACGGAGCAAACAATATTCAGCATCTGTATTTTCTAGTTAGCTTTATACCCCTCGACTGATGATTGAGAGAAGCTACATACAGCCACCCCCCTTGTTCACGCCGTTGACCAGTGCATTATCACACATTTGGTAATAACCTTTCTTACATGGTCTGCATGTGCCTATATCTCTAGTCAGCTTTCTCGAACGAGACATTCCTCTTTTGCAACTAGACATGTACTAACCGTCATGACCTCCATGCCATGCGCCTCCAATTCGATCACCAACTTTCCATTGTGTCACTCCTTCGCCGACTGCAGCTACGTGTCCGATGATTTCGTGTCCTGGCACTCTTGGGCTATGAAGCAGGATGTTAGTCCTATCACTTCTATATCTAACAAAATGATGAAGTACTGAGCATACTCACAGCCCACCTCCCAAAGCATTTTTCTGTACAGCAGTGTCCGAGTAACACACTCCACATGTCTGTACTTTCACCAAAACCTCCCCCTTTCCCGGAGGGGTCATTGGTACCTCTTCGAGGACCAAAGGAGCACCAACCTCCTTGAAAATGGCCTGCTTGAATGTCTTGGGAATATCCATTGTAAGGTAGAATCTTTGACTATGGGTTTGGACTGCTTCTATCAATCTCAACAATTCTAAGGTTTGAAACGGAAACGGCCACTGGGAGGGGTAGAGCTGGATTTTATATACAACCATCTCATGCCTGCGACACAGCAGATCGGATTTACATTCGGCCTGCACGGAGCTAGAGCTAGGGAGATACGTCTAAAATCCAGGCCGAAACTAGATTTGAAAGCAACACTGGGCTGTGTTAATCCCGATTGCTTGACTTATTTTCGATCGATAGTTTATGTGCTGATCATGATATACATTTTGAAGATTTCAAATCCAGGAACTAAGCGTGGAGATAGCTGCGGAGTTAAAGGACGAGACATGACAAAGCAGACTTATGCCAATATAATGTGTTTGGCGACGCGCCACCGTTAAGACCGATATTTGGCATTTAACCCAGGCTGAATGAGTGGCTTGCCGGAAGGAAATCTTCGTCAAAATTCCCAACTAGATATTAATAATCTACGGGAAGAGCTGCAAGGCTACGTTACAGGGTGCTGGCAAAACGACATGAAAACATGGCTTTGAAGACATATCACTCAAATATAAATAGCTCCAAATTCAAGGCTGCTCACTATGTCCTCCAAATCGTGGAAGGAGTTGGTTATTGTCTTTCCTTTTGCCCCGTAGATAGAGGATGTAGATACAGTGCACCATAACGACGACGTGTTCTGTTGCTCGTGTTTGCGGCGATTGAAAATTGGGAAAGATGCGCCTGGTGATAGCGATAAAGTTCCTTATATAAGCAAAATGCGGGGTCATAAGCTCAATTTGATTGGACAGCAGAATAGGGGCAACTTATTATGTCATCCCGCTTTTCTTGATTTTGAGTTTTATTTTCTGCTATTTCGACAGCAACATCTCCGTACCAAGAGAGATGAAGAACAGCATTCTTCGGGATGAATCTATGGAACTTTCATTGGCCCCTGTCCCTGTTTCCTAGCTACTTCAGGGTCATATTCTTACCATCCCACTTTTGTGTAATTATACCCCTCTCCAATATATACAACCAGCCGGCTCCATCAAGACCGTATCATGAACTGGCACCGACTACTCCTTAAGCAATCTACGCTTCAATCACCACAATTTCCCTTCACATTCGGACAGCTTATACAGTAGAGACCTATGGCTGCGAGAGAATATGTCCGATTTGATGTTTTTGGCCTGTAACGAAGTGGTTGCCCGTTGTGCAATTTTGACAAAGGGTGCGATGACCGTAGTTTCGCAGCTACATTTGACAACCTGTGGGTTATTGTCAAACCCACTCTTTCATATGGTAATGAAGGCCATGCCAGAAATATGTCTCTATCCTAACTGGTTTGCTATGATGAATAAATAACAATAGACCATAGCCTTGGGCGTTGTTGGCATCCGGAAATCCTCTATTCCATATATACTTTGAGGCTTTCTAGAAAACATGTATTTCTAGATGGGTATTCCATCTGGACGCTAAGTCGGTCCCTATATTCTTAAAGCATAGATTCTGATGGGGAAAGTAGAATGGTTTACATTAAGCGCTACTTACGGATTCCCGTTTGATATGAAAGCTGATCTTCCATGTATAGCCATGTAGCAATTGTCTACTTTATTTGACTGGAACTTGGGCTAATTCCAATCATTTTTTAGGGGTGACACGTGCTGGAATCTCTGGGGAGTTGGCCACCGTGCAGTAGAATAACCGAAGAGCTGACGATTCTACGGTACTTTCCTCCCAGAGGTATCCTCACTACGCCGTACATCGGCTTCGGTCAGTACGAGGCTTCACGAGACACCTGCCCGTAAAGCCAGCCACGCAGCACGGATACTGCTGTTATAATACCGCAGCCTTATCCGTCCACTCCAACCCCTAACACCGTCTTCTCCTTTTCTTTTTCCATGTACTTCATCATCCGTCAGTTTTCAATGCCGAGTCAGCTGCTGAAAAAGCCGCCCGGAGTTGTTGCCGGCCCGGGCCCAGATGACACATCACATGACCGGGCCAGGGACCAACCTTCCGCGCTCAGATTTTTTTTGCTCCGAATTCTTCCATCTCTTCCCAGATCACCAACGCTCTCAACTCTCAACTCCTTCAACTCGTCCTCCTCCCGTTCTCCCATCCTTCTGCGTCTTGCGCATCCATCACCGTCGCAATGGCTTCCGCTCCCGCTGCCCTGGCTCAGGCCGTCCCACAGAAGAAGCCCGAGGGTGCTGCCCTTTATGCTCGTTTCTCCTTTGCCGGTGCTGTCTGCTGCTCTGTCACCCACGGTGCTTTCACTCCCGTCGATGTGTATGTTATCACACCCGCTGGCATCAATTGATTGTGATTTTACTGACGGATGCATCTCTGAATAGCGTCAAGACCAGAATCCAGCTTGACCCCGCTACCTACAACCGTGGTATGATCGGTGGTTTCCGCCAGGTCATCCAGAATGAAGGTGCTGGTGCTCTTTTGACTGGTATCGGCCCAACCTTTGCCGGTTACTTCCTCCAGGGTGCCTTCAAGTTCGGTGGATATGAGTTCTTCAAGAAGCAGTCTATCGACATGCTCGGCCTTGAGACCGCTCGCCAGAACCGTGGTCTCGTCTACTCTGCCTCTGCCGCCAGTGCCGAGTTCTTTGCCTCCATTGCCCTCTGCCCTCTCGAGGCTACCCGTATCCGTCTTGTCTCCCAGCCTACCTTTGCTACTGGTTTGATCAGCGGTTTCGGCAAGATCCTCAAGACTGAGGGTGTCGGTGCCTTCTACAGCGGATTCGGACCTATCCTTCTTAAGCAGTAAGTTTTGAAAACTCCCCTCGCAGGACGCAAAAGCTGTATCAAAGAGAAACTAACGCGGATTGTGCAGGATTCCCTACACTGTCACTAAGTTCGTTGCTTTCGAGAAGGTTTCTGAGACTGCTTTCTCCTTCCTCGATAAGTCTAAGCTCTCTGACGCTGCTCAAACCGGTGTCAACTTGGGATCTGGTCTCATGGCTGGTTTCGCTGCCGCTATTGTCTCCCAGCCAGCTGATACTATGCTTTCCAAGATCAACAAGACCAAGGGTCTTCCTGGTGAGGGCATTGTCTCCCGTCTCGTCAAGATTGCTGGCGAGCTCGGTCTCCGTGGTGCTTTCGCTGGTCTTCCTACTCGTCTGTTCATGGTTGGTGGTCTTACTGCTGGTCAATTCGCCATCTATGGTGACATCAAGAAGGCTCTTGGTGCCACCGGTGGTGTCGAGATTGCCAAATAGACTCTCCATAGCGGACTTTTTTCGCATGGTTTAGATAGGTGGCAGGAAAATGTTTTGGTATAGAAATGAGGGTGGCTATATCTTCAGCCATTTTCATTTTTTAGAGTTGGAGATGGGTTCTTTTTCTTTCTTTTCAATCACCCCCCCTTTCCCCAAGATGCGGTGCCCTCCACATCCTCCGCAACTTTAGTGTATAATTGCATCGGGCCGGCCAAAAAACAACTGTACACTCTGGCGGGCGTTATCATCTTGTTTCAATGACTGTAATAGACTGTTTCCTTGTGCTTTAGATTTCTAGGTTGTGCAGGTGGTTGCTGCATGGCTTTTCTACAATCCAGAGACATTGATGTTATGTTTCAGTTTGCAGATGCTCTAACAAATTGGTTCTAGTTCATCGTCTGCTATCGAGATTGCCCTGCCGCGGAACTTTGTTGCAACTCTTGCTGAGCCGACGTGTTACTTGAGAAGCACTAAACTCGCGCTTGAATACCCCATTAGCGTTTGAAACTATCTACACATCACGGATTCTCGGTCAAAGCGTCAACAATTTGATATTATGTTGGTCCAAGGTGATTCCAAGCTACCTCCATTCTGTTTACTTCTCGCATCAATGGAGCAATCGCAGAAGATGGAAGACTTGTTCAAGCTCCAGAAGACGGCGTTCACAAACTAGAGTCAAATGTGTTTACCCTGGTTAGTGATTCTATATTCAACATAATCCGCTCTATTCTTAAACTGGACTATGAGATACACTTACGAGAAGCTTTCCGTGCGTAAGTATAACTCTTTAACGTCTCCAGCCAATACCTTCCTCTGTGCTTCTGCCGCCGCATTGCGAACATCGTGCAGCATGGAAGGCGGTCCACAAACAACTATTCCAGCTGCTTTTCCAGTAGCTTGATCGGCTAGAGAAGCCACAGCACTGGCCAAGGAAGGTCGGCCTAGTTGATAAGTAATGGAGTCCTGCCCTCCGTTGAAAATTTCATCCTCTCCGCTGGGCGTGGATTCTTTTTCCAAGTTATCATTCTTTCGTAAGGCGGAAGTGGTATATATCGAGACCGACACTATTGAGCTAGAAGGGTATTGAGAAACCAATGTCTTGATTTTCTCCTCATACCACTGCGCCATCAACGAAGAGCGGGCTGCATATATAATGTTGAGTGTCTTCTCCTTGATCCCAGCGGAAGCCGCCGTCGTGGCACGCCTTAAAACGTCCTCCACGACTGGAAACGAAAACGCGGCGCCAGATCCACCAGTAATGATAAGGATGGAATCGAATCTGGCCATTGTCCCGGAGCTAATACCCCCGTAAGGCCCGTCAATCAAGACCTTCATGTTAAGGGGAGAGACATCTCTGGCAGTATTTGAAAGTGATTTCGTAATTCCTTCATGACGCTTGGCATATACGGTCATTTCATTCGTCTTACTTGCGGAGTCCACATGCGGTAATGAAGCAATTGTGAATGGATGAGATGTTAGGCAGTGAGGTCCTAGGCCGAGGAATCGGAGAAAAACGTGCTGTCCTGGTTTCCATGAAATTGAGCAGGTTGTCGTAATACGGATTAAACCGCAAGGAAGAATGTCAACTGTTGCACGACGAAGCCGATTGATAAAAAACGTCCGAATTTGAACAAGAATAAGGCAGGGGAGGTATATTGCGGCCGTTGCAATGAAATAATCCCTATCTAGTTATTAGCACAGCACGCGGTGACATTTTAATTGTAGTTGGCCACCATTCGGTGATATATTACCACGCTGTGAGCCGGAAGTCGCAGTGGATAAAAAAGAAGACAACATAGACCATGGCTGCGAAAAGATGGGTGGCTTTAAAAAACTCATAGAACCGTCTCCTGCTCCTCATTAGCTCTCTAGGTAGTATTGCATCATATATGAACATACCGTATAACTGGCAGTGAAAACCATGTTAAATAAGCCTGCACAATGATCGTGACAACTCCTGTCCAGTAGTGCATGGACGTTTCCCACTTGTATTGCATGTCTCCCCGTTGAGTACGATAAATGATGAAGGGCCACATATGAACTAGTCCCAAGACGAACATTGCCCAACTTGTCCATTGATGGAAGATCTGACCAAATAGTTAGACGAGACGTATCTATTAGTGGGATTTTGCAGCGGGATTTTGACTATTTTGGAACAAATGTCCGCCCCTTAGCAAATAGGCTATCTACTGCCCTAGAGTACTACATTTAGTTAGTATGCTGTGAGTAATTATAAATGCCTGTTAAACGTTGACAACACTCACTAGAGCCTGATTTGGAAGTCCAGGGCAGTGGTTTATTCCAGATCAAATTTGCTTGCGAAATCCCCTCAACATTAAAATCCTTTGCGATTGACACTCACCTGAAGCTTTTCATGGGATATCCCAGTCAGCATCGTAATCCAGTTTGCTTTAGACGCAAGAGCACTGATTTCACAGTTAGAATGGCCTTCCCTTGTGGAGGCGAAATGTCACTGACATTGAAAAAGGCAGTAGCCCAAGAGCCATCCAGCCTGCCCTGGTAGCAATCGGGGGACTGCCACCATAAACAACATCCTTGGTGTTTGGCCAGTAGTACGGTTTCGGTCCTAATGTCAGAGCTATCATTGGACGTTAGCCAGACCTTAATGCAGCGGTGTATGGTAGAAACATACCAGAAAAGAAGAGAATTCCTGCGGAAATTACCAGCATTCTACCTACATTTGGGGAGAGCCAGGCCAAGAAAGGTACGCGGAACCCCCTATAGATGCAGTACCGCACGAGGCCCTTGGGTTTCTGTAAGAACTTGTCGATGGGGCTCCGGGGGGTATGTCTTAGAAATATATATGCTAACGAGAACACAAAGACGATTGCACATATGAAGTAAACTGTGGCTCTTGCGTAAACAAGGTCCGATATATACCTAGTAGATGGTGCTATGTTAGTCTAAAGACGCTTGCCTTGAGCCAGGGGCTGCACTCGTACCAATATCTCCAATAGCCGCTTCGAAATTCACATTGCGCCGGTGTCAATTCGCATTTGTCTTCTCTCGATGAGTGTAGTAGCAGAGGCTTTTTCAACCAAGGGAAGCCAGTAGGCTTTGGCTTATGTGCACTATAATGTTGCATGATGATTTTATACAGTAATTGCAGGAGAAAGAGAGCTATTCCACTTAGCCCGCGGTTATGGGTATCTAGTATTTGAAACTATCACGAAGGATAGTTTTAAAAGTGTCCTCCGAGCATAACTGTGCCGAGGCAGGGTCAAGCTTTTTAGATCTGTTGCAGCCATCTAGATTGTTTATGTGTGTCCTCTTGTGCTCTTTAAAGCAGGTACCTTGTAGTGGTGGTCCAGGCTGGATGGAAGAGAACTTCCTGTTCTCCTCGATATAACCCTAGTAGTTATATCCAATCATATTTCCCGGAATTCTCTCCATGCATACCATCGATGGAGCCTTGCTCCAGTATTGAAAGAACGCACAAGCGGAACGTTTAAAATACCTCTCATTGAGCATATTTGAGGCATGAGATAACAGTCACAGAAAAGTTTGACAGCGGCTCTAAGCCCAATATTTATTCCATATATATATTGTGCTGTTGCCCTGTGATGCCGGGAGCTCGTGGGGACATAGTGCTACAAAATTAGCACTGCTTGCCTGCCCTATCAAATGTTGTTTATTTAACACCAGCATAGGCCATAGGTATTCTAGAATCCAGGCGGGTATTCAAAGGTGTATGCGCGAATATTTTTTTTCTCTCCGTTAAACCCCTTTGTTGCAGTTGTTTGATATCCGCAAATCTGTAGCTAAAGGATCTTCCAATCAGAGATAGGCACTTGCTTAGAAAGAAAATACTGAGTAACAAGCTCTTTAGCTTAGTAACATCTAGTCACGTGCACGTCGGCCGAGCAAGGAAGTTCGGCTTTCGGAGCTGCCATCAGATCATCAAACCGCCTGTCCACGGCTTTTCCCATATCATCTCAGCTATAAGACCTCGAGAAGCAGGAGATGGGGGATCTGTTTGGATAGAAGGGCAGCGCATACGCGTACTATCATGACATATGAATATCTATCATGTTTTCAGCCATCCTCAAGTCGAAGCCGTCTTCGATATCGAGCTCAATACCTGTCGTGTGTGATAAGCAGGCTGCAACATACAGCTCTTTATACCTAGCTCGCCCCTATATAAATTTCCGCTGCACCTCCCGCTCACCATACCAGCGATCTATTCACTCACAGCAGTTCCAGCCTTTCGTCCCACCCAGCCCCGAATCCCTTGGTCAACCCACTCGTGCTAAGACATACCCACGGACTCGCAAATGGCTTCGACGGCTCTTCTGCACAGGTGCCTCTCTAGGCGCATTGTATCTTGTGGATAGCCAGTTCAATGCATCATGCATCACTCGTACCACTCGCACATTCGCACTTGGCCTCTTCGTTGCCCTCGACTATAAGATTAATTTCCGTCCGAATCCCCCGCTAGCTAAATCTATAGCAGCTGTCCACGCTAGAAGTGCGGAGCGTCTCTCGGTCCTCCTGCGAGAGAATGGCGGACTATACTTGAAGATAGGCCAGGCAATAGCCATGCAAGCTGCTGTGCTGCCACCGGAATTCCAGAAAATGTTCTCCCGTATGTTCGACGATGCACCGCAAAATGATTGGAAAGATGTCGAGAAAGTCATCAAAGAGGATTTTGGAAAATCGGTTGAAGAGGTGTTTGGAGTTAGCTTTGACGGTAACCCGAGCCGTGGGGTCATGGAACGCACAGCCAGAGCAAGTGCTAGCGTAGCACAAGTCCATTGGGCCAGGCTAGCCGATGGGAGAGAAGTCGCTATTAAAATACAAAAGAGGGAGATTGCGCGACAGGTGGAGTGGGATCTATGGGCATTCAAGTACGAATATGGATGATGGTTACCCTTGCCGGAATCGTGTCTGCGATGGTCAATGGAAGCTAACAATTTATAGGGTTATCTCGTACCTCTACTCCAAAGCTTTTGACATACCGTTCTACAGTCTGGTTCCCTTTGTGTCTGAACGACTTTTTCTGGAGACAGATTTTGAGAATGAAGCGGATAATGCCGAACGTATGGCTAAGTTGATTTCCAGTGAACCACGCCTCCGAAATAGAGTTTACATCCCCAAGGTGTACCGCGAACTTAGTTCGAAGCGTGTCATGACCGCTGAATGGATCGAGGGAGTTCGATTGTGGGATAAGGATTCCCTGACTCGACCTTGGAGGGGAGGCTGGTACAAGGGAAGCCCCGGCTGCCATGGAGCGCCTCTAAAGTCATCGGACGGCAAAGCACCTCCTCGCCGCGCTGGTGGCCCCGCCATCATCGATAAGATAAAGCCGGACCGTGACTATTGGAAAGGGAAGAATGGCCGTGGAGGCCTGGGTCTGTCTCTAAAGGAAGTCATGACAACCATGGTCGATTTGTTTTCGGCACAGATGTTCCTTTGGGGGTGGCTTCACTGTGATCCACATCCCGGAAACTGGTTTGTTCGCCGACAACCATCTGGGAAAGCTGAGTTGGTTCTCATAGACCATGGTCTTTATGTCCATATGGATCCAAAATTCAGGCACGAATACGCCCGCTTCTGGAAGTCTCTACTAACCTTCGATAACTCTGCCATATCTGAAATAGTCCGGGGCTGGGGTGTTAGAAACCCGGACATGTTCGCATCGCTCACCTTGTTACGGCCCTATGAGGGAGGCGAGCACACCACGTTCAAGCAACTAGAAGGATTGAGCAAACGGGAGAGAGCCGAGCGTCATTATGCAGCACAACAAGCCATGAGTCAAGCTATCCGCGATTTCCTTGGAGATGAGACGAAATGGCCTCACGAACTCATATTTATATCCCGCAACTTCCGCATCGTCCAAGGGAATAACCAATACTTAGGGTCACCAGTGAACCGTATCAAAATAACAGGAACGTGGGCGTCCCGGGCCCTGATAGAGTCCCCACACCTCACCCTTTCCGAAAGGCTCAAAAACTACGGACGACACATCATATTCAAGTGCGTCTTGTTTACATCTGACATCTTCTTTTACTTCACCAAGATCAAGCAGTTCTTGGGCCTTAGTGGCGGAATGGAAGATGAGATTGAGGCCCAGCTGCAGAATATGGCAAAGGATATGGGTGTCGATCTAAGCCAGCCTGTGTTCGAAGGCTAAGTGTGGAGCTGTTGAAATAGTATCTTCTCCTGTTCACTGGCTGAAAAGAGGAACAGGTTTTCCATCATTTCATTGCCAGGAACTCATCCGCCATGTACAATATAACTCTTCTCTTGTAGCAAAAAGCATATATTCATCGGGCGTTGGGTTTTTACCTCGGCATTTTTTTGCTTAATTGGTTTGTCGCGTCTTTCGTGTAACTATTTAAGTTTGGCGGCCTGGCTAGCCGCGATCTTGGCGGCTTTGAACCTGGAGAGCGCCGTAATCCTCTTCTTCATCGCGAAACCTCCGGGTGTGTACAATTCGAAACAGCAGTTTTGCTAAACCGATCGATCGCTTGCAGGAACAGGCGTTCATTGAAAATGTTCCGACTGAGCTTGTGTCCCTCCTCATTTCCCATATACTTTCAGGGTTATTCTGGGGCCGTTTGAGATGACCAGAAAGTATACATACTTACGGAGTAATCTCAAGCAGAATAGGGCTGAGACGTCAAAAGCCGCACCTTGATCTCCTGATCGGTTAAACGATGGAATCTGACCCGGCAGTTTCCTACGATGAAGACTCTCACTCTCGATCCTCGTCTCGCTTCACCTACCGCCACTTCCAGCTTCTACGGTCCTTCTCAACCCGCACTCCTCTCCGAGTCATAGCCCACATTGACCTCGATGCCTTCTATGCGCAATGTGAAATGATACGGCTGGGCACTCCGCGAGATCAGCCTCTGGCTGTCCAACAATGGCAGTCTCTGATCGCGGTCAACTATGCTGCTCGCCCATTTGGAGTCTCGAGAATGATCACTGCCGAGGAAGCAAGGAAGCTGTGCCCTCAACTACTTACGCCGCATGTTGCGACTTTCCGAGAAGGGGAGGGGGAGAACTGGGCATACAGAGACGGAGATTATTCTGTTCAAAAGGATAAAGTCTCATTAGACCCATATCGTGCAGAATCAAGAAAGATTCTAGCAACTATGAAGGCAACACTTCTTACTTGGGCTGAAGGAGTATATGAAGGATGTCGCGATCAGTTTTCTGAACCTTCGGATATGGTACGACTTGAAAAAGCGGGTATCGATGAAGTGTTTGTAGACCTTTCAGCTCTTGTGTTTGGGACGCTGTTGCAACGCTATGAAGTGCTCCGATTAGCGGGTACCTTTGAGGGATCAAAGGATAGTCCTAACAGGCTTCTTCCTAGACCTGAGACCACTGCGCTTCTATGGGGCGAAGACGATGAATTAATCGATTTGGATACTGGTGAGTCTGAAGAAGATGACCCGGAATGGGATGACGTCGTCATACAGGTTGGTGCAGAAATTGTAAAATTTGTTCGGACAGCAGTATGGGACCAGCTCAAATACACTTGTTCTGGTGGAATTGCGAGAAACAAAATGATGGCTAAACTAGGAAGTGCCTGCAATAAGCCAAACCGACAGACTATTGTCCGCAATCGAGCCATCCAACAATTTTTGAGCGGCTACAAATTTACCAAAATTCGCTCATTAGGAGGGAAGCTGGGGAAGAAAATCGCGTCGGAATTCGAAACAGACAAAATCAGCGATCTACTAAATATCCCACTGGATCGACTAAAGAACAAACTGGATGATGACACGGGGGTGTGGCTCTACCAGATCATTCGTGGAGAAGACGACTGCGAAGTTACTCCGCGAACAGAAATCAAATCTATGATATCAGCCAAATCGTTCAACCCCAAACTAGTTTCTTTGGATCAGGGGGAGAAGTGGATGCGAATATTTGTTGCTGAAATCTACGGGAGATTGATAGATGAAGGCGTCCTGGAGAATAAACGGCGTCCTAAAATGATTACAGTCCATCACTATGGCCCAAACCAGGACAAGTCTCGTCAGACACATATACCGACCGGTGGAGTCATTGATCAAACTATGCTCTTTGATCTAGCAAAGAATTTACTTCAACAGGTCGTCAGTTGGCCCTGCTCTCATTTATCCCTCACTGTGAGTGGATTTGAAAGCGGGATCACTGGGAATAAAAGCCTGGATAATTTCTTTATCCGCGGTGCAGGTGAAACCCCAGTCTCACGACGCGGCAGCAACATACCGAATGAAAGCTGCCAGTCGGAGCCCCCTGATGATAACGTGGGACACCAAAGAAAGAAGCAAAGAGTCGGTGAGACCCATGAACAGAACCCTTCGAAAGCAGTTGGTTTCTTCTCAAGATATAGAACCAACACTAACACCAAAGAAACGCCTGCTGAGCCTTGTTCTGAGAAGGCGGGAGAATCGCGACCTGACCTTCAAACGAATCCAGCTTCCTACTATTCATCCCAGGGCGTTTGTTCCCGCTGTGGAGAGACCATGCCAGACTTTATGCAGTTGGAACATGATGACTGGCACTTGGCCAAAGCCCTTGCAAGCCAGGAGCAGCAGCCCCTTAGCGCCGCTCGGGTACGTGGCGCCGGGAAGACAAGACAAACGAAGCTGGCCTTTGGCTGATACTTCTCGTTGTTGCTAACTGTGATGTGGTCGCTTTTTGAATTGTGCAATTAGCCAGCCATGGTCTGATATATTATGGTGTGCTTCTTTATTAGATCTCTAATACATAGTCTAGACGAGTCTAGATGTCTACCATACTGCCTTTTTCATAGGGGCACGTCGAATCATATCTTTCTACGGACTAGATGTCCCCTATGTGTCGGGCGTAGCCGTTTGCCCCCTTTCATCCCGTCGTCAGGGCAAAAGAACCGCAGGCTTCTTTAAAGAGTAACTACGTCATTTTCTTGATCTCCACACTTCCATGGATGTATCATTACATTAGTTAGTTAGTTATCCTTGCTATTTAGCGTATGTCCACTACTTGGATACGGGCTGTGACATCATCGCTTATTCAACTTCCAGCATCAACAACACATGATAAGTTCTTTCCTCAAGTATAGAATATATGGTCTTGACATATTTCCAACAAAAAAACTGTTTACTTCGTGGCTTCCCTATAGCATGTTTAGTACTTTCCGGTCTCTTTTTCAACCTACTTAATTGCTTAACCTTTCCCTGCGTTCTAGATCTAGATAGCAGATTAGAGCTTCTCTTCGGCAACTATTTCTTTTTAATTAAACTAATTTTGGTCAGCTCTTTTACTTCAATCGAGTTGCGAAGGCTGGAAATTACTCTACCATCTGTTTCAAAAGATACGGTATTATCGAGTTTCCTGGTTCCCGCATCATTCCATGGCTATCAAAACCCGGTTCCACGAAGATATCTCATATGCTCCAGGGGGGCAAGATGACTTTCTCGATTCACATCATCGACGGGGAAAATTCTCATCTCCTTTAGATGGAATTAAGGGAGAAAGACATTCTAGACGCCGGCGGCGAGGTAGAGACGAGGAATTTGAAGAAGAAATTGAAATTGAGATCGAACGAGACAGGCGTCCCGAACACCGCAGATCATCGAGGCATCATAGTCGTCCTCGCGAGACTAGAAAACCTCCTCCCAGAATCGTAGAGAGAGATGAGCTTGTGGTTCGAAGAGATGGAAGTCCTGCATGGAAGAGAATGGAAATGGATGACACGATTGTACGGCGAGAGAAGGATATGGATAATCGTTTCGAGGACTCTTTTGATCCTATTCCACTTCCGCATCGACCATCCCACCTATATGAGGAAGAGATATTCGAACACCGTCGACATGGTAAACATGACACACCCCAGAGTATCCTATTGTTGACAGGAATACATACGATCATTGAAGTGCTAACAGTTGCATATAGGTCGCAGCCCTCCGCATGGAAGAGAATTGCATGTGGAAGTGGATAGTGAAGAGTTTGGGGCCAGAAGGTATATCTTCAATTGAGGCCCTTCAATTAATTGTCCATAAACTGACAGCTAGCAATTAATAGACACAAGAAGCATCACAGAGACCACGAAGATGAAAGGATTCTAGAAGTCGATGTGGACATCCATGAAGAAGCAGACAATCGGCACTATAGAGGGCGAAAGCATGACCCTTTAGTCTTGAGACCGCGTGAGCTAGTCCCGGCCCATGTTAGAGAAGAAGATGAGCACTACAGCCGGCATGTCGCTGAAAGATCGTGGAATGAAGAAAGATATCGAGACATGTCCCAAGATTTGTGCATCCGAAGACCTAGTCGTCTCTCTGATAAGTATGACAGGGAAGTTCATGGAACGGTTGCAAAGCGATATGTCGGCGTGAAGGAAAGGCGTGAGGAACTATGGACAGAGATCACAAAGGATCTTGTTGTGAAGGAGGCTATTGAAGAGGCAGGGTATGATTATGAAGAAACAGCCGATTTCTTCTACGTCTTCTCGTGCCTGGAATATGTAAGTTCCCATTTCGGACCCAGTTTCATGCTCAAAAAAGCTATGTGAAGACAACCCGAGAGGCCGGTGCTAATAATCCCTGGCCGTATTCTAGGACGACGTAGCAGAGCTGGTGAAATTCACTGAAGACTATCGCCGCCGACGCCGCGAGAGGGTTTTAGAACTCCAGCATGAGAGGATAAAGACGCATCGCCTACTTCCTGCTCTCCCCCAGCCTAGAATGGCTTTAGAGCAAGAATTATCTCGGCCAGTGTGTGATGATGGGCGAGTCCAAGAGACTGAAATCTTTATCGACGAGAGCCGAAGAACACGACGCCGCTCGCCTATACTTAGAGAGCGCGTTATTTAATACCTTGGCCTTTCATCATTGGAAATTCCAGGGTTTAAAGCGACCGTTAGTTGCTTCAGTTTGCCTGGCGGTTCATTTTCAGAGAGCGAAGGGATCTAATTATGCTCCATACTGGAAATAGGGTATCCATACTCGTTGTTGTGGTGTAACGAAAGTCACAAATTCCGATTAGCTTGGGCGTCTGGGAGACGCCGGAGAACACTCGGGCCGGCGTTTCTCGGTGAATTCGGGTTATGACGTTGATAATTCAATATGTGGAGCTTAATTAATGAATGCTTTTTTTGCTTTTTCCTCATTCAATATCCTCTCATGCCATGCTTCGTAGGGAGTAGATTGAATGCATACATTCACTGACTCGCCCGAAAGATATATATCATCATTTTTTCTACTTTGATGCTAATAGACAACAATCCACCAATTTACATAGAGCCTCCCTTAGAGGAAATATTTCTATCACCCCTAGCCCAGCCTCAAGTAGTTGCCTTGCCTCGAAAGGAGAGACAATGGCTATGAAAGACTAGATCGAGTCATAAAGGGAGCTAAAGACCTTGACTGTAGCCTATGAGAGGGATATTTGAAGAATCTTTTGATCAAATTGACCATCTTCCTTTCACTTCACGGCCAAAGCTTTTCAAATTTGATATCAAGTTTGAAAATTTACTCTTCTGCTTGCTCTGGCCTGCACCTTCTTTTTCTTTTTCTTCTTCTTTTTTTGGCGCTGAGATTTTGCTTCCTGTCAACTCTTTGGCCACTATTGAGTATGTATTTTCTTCAAAAATTCCTTAGTAACTGGCGCAAAATAGGGTATGTTTTGCATAATGTGTTGATTTTTTGCTAATATAGGAATTTTTAGAAATATTCCCTGCGAGAGGTGCCTTAATCGAGCCTTAGAAGATATTACGTGTGTCCCTGCTGGCTATAGGGGGACCTGACAGGCCTGCCGAAATGCAGGGAGACAATGTGTTAAAGTAAGTGAGATTTCTAAGAAATTTCCGGAATTTTTCAGGGTAGATTGGGTCATTTGCTAACATATTGATAGATTGAAGAGACTATACTTAATGATAGAAATGATATCCATCTATACTTACTGCATTTGTCAACCAAACTCTAGGGTGGCTCCGCTTCCTAGCTATGGAGGATATTATGGCGCTTAAAAGAGACAACCGCAGCGGCTAATAAAGACGCTAATAGCCGCGGGTTTATGAGAGCCAAGCAGGTTTACTAATACACATTTAGCCCTTTCATTGGAAGAACGTAACGGTGGCGTTAGGGCTTGAGCCCTAACTAACTAGTCATATACATCATTGACTGTACTTCGTATTTATATTGCAACTAATACCCTTGACCCCCACCTGCAGACGCGCCGGAGCTTGATACCACCCCATATTAATTACCTGCCCCCTACCCAATCAATATTCCGTATAAAGCAGGGAATAGAGTCTCCCTGGAGTCGATTCGCAAGATGCCTTCGATTTTAGACGACGATGATGACCGAGATTTGATCGGTGAGTTTGGCAAATCACCAAAAAACCCGACGGCTGTAGCAAGAATGGGCGCAAGATTAATACATTCTCTTTCCCTCATAGGATCGCAAGACGGCAGCTCAGATGGTGGCATGGACGATACCATGCATGATATGGATGATATGGAGGTTGACGTTGAACCTGAGCCTGAGCCTGAGCCCGAGCCAAATTCACCTTCAAACTCCAGTGTTGTCGACTCCGAACACCATGCGAGAAACACCCAAAACCCCGAAGTCATAGTTACGGCCCCGGCGCTCGATCCAGTTCCCGATCAACCCTTTATGTATCGACCACAGGTCCGCCAGGAAGCACTGACTGCTGCCACCTATGACATCGTGCCCACAACAGCTGCTCCTCATAGCACCTCCATCAATGCGGTTACTTCAACTGCCGATATGCGTTGGGTATTTACCGGCGGCTCCGATGGATACGTGAGAAGGTTCAACTGGGCCGATTCTATAAACAGCAAGCTGATGCTCACTGTTGCTCAGCGTCATCCTTTCGTCGACAGCGTTGTCAAGGCCGGTGTCTTGGTGAACTACTGGGAGAACATGGATGGTACCGCAATGTCACCCGTATACTCTCTTGCAGCCCAAGCCGAAGGCCTGTGGCTTCTTTCGGGCTTGGAATCAGGCTTTATTCGATTACAGTCGGTTCGCCATGACGAAGGCAAAGAAATCGCAGTGCTTAAACAACATACATCAGCTGTATCAGTTTTATCTCTTACTCAAGACGAGAGATCGCTTTTGTCAGGCAGCTGGGATAAAAGAGTACTGGAGTGGGACCTCGACACCGGAAAAGTGAAGCGCACCTTTGGGTCAAGCATTGGACAAGTTTCTGCTATTGAATTCCGCCCCGAATCGAGCCTCCCCGTTCCACGAGAGATTGTGGAACGACCGCTAACCAACGGCACTTATTCGTCTAATAACCGCGCCGCTCCTTCGGCCAGCCAGAGTTTTGTTAATGGCGGAGGTGGTAACAAGGATAGCCAAACTGGTGACCAGCAGGCTGGATCTCCCGCCGATTCTCTCTTTGAGGCAGACTCACTTTTCGGAGATGCGGAAGGTGGCGGCGATGCTGATGCTCCATCTGGTGGTGCATTTGCAGCAGAAGATGATGAGTTCTCCCAGGCGCTGGCTAATGGTATGAAACAAAAGCAACAGGCGGCACGAAAAGATGCGGACGATAGCAGTACAAATGCGATGACCAATGGAACTGTCCCCTATTCAGAACCGCTAGCTGAAAATGTTCCCAAACCAGACTCCGCTAGCCAAGTTCAAACAACCAAGCAAGAGCCAGAAGACTCGCAAGTCAATGGGATATCAGACTCTGTGATGAGTGGCCTTCCACACGCCGAAGATTTAGAGTCCTCAACGGCAGCAATAGAGAGAAGCACAATGGCCAATGATATAAACTCGGTTGGAGATTCCAATAGCACTTTCCTGACCGCTTCTATAGACGGGACGATTCGAGTGTGGGATCGCAGGCAATCAGATCCAATTTCCCGCATAACGCCGCGAAACAGCCCACCATGGTGTATGAGTGCTTGTTGGTCTCCTGATGGCAATTATATCTACGCTGGTAGGCGAAATGGTACTGTTGAAGAGTACAGCTTACACAAAGGCCTTCGTGACCCCCAACGAACCTTTAAGTTCCCTCATGGAAGTGGTGCAGTATCTTCCGTTAAAATAATGCCTAACGGCCGACATCTCATCTGGTAAGCTACCTCTCCAATCCTTCCTTTGTTGGCCGTTATCCTTGAAATTTATATACATGCTGGGCTCGCGCGGATTGCTAATGTGCCTTTCTAACCAATAGCGCCTCTCACGATATTCTACGCTTATATGACTTGGCGGAAGAGCAGAGCTCTAGATCTTCCGTTCCCTTTCTCATTATACCCGGCCATCGTACAGGTACCATTTCTCAGCTCTACATGGATAATGCCTGCAAGTACCTAATATCTACCGGCGGAAACCGGGGATGGGAGGGTTCAACAACAGAAGTTCTCCTTGGATATGAAATATCTGCTCTACAATCCTAAATATGGCACGTTATTCTAAGTGCTATCTATCCCCCCTACCCAGTACATCACCAGCATTTATCACCTTACATCTTACTGCACCATTTCTTAATCTTTTTTTCGTCCTGTATAGCTTCGCTTGCTGTTTACCTGCTGGCATCAACAGTTACTACGATATCCCTTTTATCTTTTTATAAGTTCTATCAGGCCTGGTTGGTGAATGGCGTTTCTGCCTGGTTCGATCCAATGGATTTATATTTTATACTCATTTTTCTGGGGAATGCATGGTTTAGAAGAGGGGGAAATTTCAATTTTTAGAGCATACATATGTTTCACTGTACAGCCTCCTTTAATACTACTTTATTTAATTGTTATCTACGAACTCATTCATCAAATCAAGTGGCTACATTCTCGCGAAGTTTGGTTAAAAAAAACCCCATATTTCATTGATTCATTATCATTTTCACAGGTCAACATTAAATACTTAGATATCTTGCATAAAAATTGATAAATATTCCAAAAATTCCACACAGAAAGCCACCCTAGATCCATCCATTCCGTAACCCATAGGAATACATGATAAATGCCAAAATATGCCACGTTCCACTTGACCTTATTCGAGCCAGTAATCATAAACCAATCCACACCTTAAATGCATAAGAATACGAATCAAAGGCCGAGATTCACGCCTTCGCAGACTGACTGGACTTGCTTCTTCCATTCGCTGTAATGCATGTCCACCCTCCCCCCTCGATGAACCATACCAGTTTCGAAGTAGACGTATGCAGGACCTGGATACCTTCCAGGGGATTCAGAGGACTCCATGACGTAATTCATCTGTTGCATTGTTTCGGAATTTAGGACATGAGGCTTGGAGGGTTCCTTGCCGCTTGTGCCTATGGAAGGCTCACTAGCCACTAATAATGCGGGAGGTAATTGACGTTGGGTTATAGAGAGGTGAGCTGGTATCCAGGTGGGTGGAATCATGCGAGAGGTGCCCACTCGCATCGTCTTCACAATGTCAGATGTAATCATCTGCTCCAGCTTGTCAATGCTGACGATATGGCCAGGGGAACGCAAGAATAGAACCCTCTCGTATTTAACTAGCTGATCTGATGCCATTTTCATCATTTGTGTTTCCGATAATGCTTTGGGCCGTATATTGGACGTATCGACTCCTTGAACAACAGCATTCAACCGGGCACTTGATTTCTTCAGGATGGCGAGAGCGGACGAGACACTCTTAGTTGGAGAGCTAGCGTCCCACGCCTTTGGATACAGAAGTACTCGCTCGCTGGTTTGAGAGCTGTTTGATGCAAGTTTCTCAAAAAGCAGTATCGTAGAGCAGATATCAGAGGCGACTGGTTTCGTCAGGATATGTAGAAACGCATTCTTTGCCTTCGCTATTCCTTCCTCGATGCCCTCGCCTTCCTCTGCAAGACCGTCCAATACATATTCGTCTATTTCTTGGCTTACTTTCGTCCTTCTGCCCAATATATGGCCTCGCCTCTTGCTATCTGGGTTTCCGACATGTTCAGAAGGTGGTTTAGCGTCGTCCCATACCAATTCTGAGGGATATATCGGTTCGATTTTGATGTTTGCTGCCGGTGATCGCTGTAGTGCCACTTGTATATGTTTGACTGATTGCTGTTGCAAGGCGTATCCGGATAAAAAGAGTATAAGAGTGAAGAAACCGAATATTGAGGATGACAATGCAACTCCAACGGTAGACGAGCTAAGTAATACCATGGTGTAAACAAACGTTTATGCGGGTGCCGAGCATGGATATAGACGTGTCATTAAAGAATAATGAGAGAAAAGACAACGGGGAGAATCCAGGTGTGCTATTCTAGAAGTTATAAGTAACCTGAGTATCAAGGACCCATACCTTCCTAGGATCTTGGAGTCCATGTCGCGGCGTTGTGAGTACAATTGTGTCAACGGGGCTTGAGATGGCGGTTGGAAGGGCAACCGGCTTATCGATAAGCTTGCCAACCTTAATTGATGCCGACGACAAAAAATACTTCCAAGCTTCGATACCTTGAAGTTGGCAACACCCATTCCACCGAGAATCGCGTTATAACCTTCTTCCCCCGTTCGAAACACATTCAAACTATTAACGGCGCAAAACTGAACTGAAGAATGTCCCATCATCGCGCAGATGCCAGTGCTCTCCTTGACACTCGTGGCTATTCGGGCCCACTGATTCGCGGCGTAAACCCAGCAACTCTTTTCGAGAAGGCAGTTCGAGATCGAATAACAGACTCCTACTATTGGAAAGAGCAGTGCTTCGGATTAAATGCAGCAACACTCTGTGACAGAGCGGTTGAGTTAAGTTATATCGGCGGTACTTACGGTGTTGGCCAGAAGCCAACTCCTTTTCTCTGCCTGCTTTCAAGCTTCTACAACTCGCGCCGGAGAAGGAAGTGATATTGGAATATTTGGATTTTCATGATCCAGAAGCAGATGAGGAGGATTCGAATGCTAAAGGAGATAATTCGGGTGCCGAAGGGAATGTAGAGGATGCGCAGGATAGAGCTGATGCGGCAATACTAAAAGCTACCGGGGATTTCAAATACCTGCGCGCGCTTGCAGCGTTTTATGTGCGACTTACTTTCGAGCCGGTGGAGATATATAAGACGTTGGAGCCGCTCTTGACAGATTACAGGAAGCTCAAGAGAAGAACGAAGGAAGGTTTCTTGCTTACTTACATGGACCAATTTGTTGACGACCTGCTCACAAAGGATCGTGTGTGCGGAACTAGTTTATGGAAGATTCCAGCAAGAACTATGTTGGAGGATTTGGATATGCTTGATGAACGGATCAGTCCTCTGAATGACGAGCTGGAAGATCTGGATGAAGAGAGTGAAAAGGAAGACGAAAAAGAAGAGAGGGAGAATGGCAAAGAAACCAGCGCCAGTCCATGATTCATCAATGGCCCTTGAAACATTCAAATTGTATTTGATCACTCTCAATTGGCCTATCAGTATTGAGCTCTAGTCTCCAGGGGCCGCTTCTGCGAATTGAAGCAACTTCCGAGTTATATTACAACAAACCCCCTACCACGCGGTGACCTTGGGATGCGCCGTCAGACTTGTTATAAGACTTGGGACAAGCATGCCATAAAGCGCTCGCAGAGACGCTAGCTCTACATCCTAGTGAGATGGAGACAGATCACGAAATCATACTCCCCTACGAAGGCAACTAACATAGGTGCCAATGATACCATTCACACATTGAAGCCTTTGCAGGCCATTTCCGAGACGTGGTTATCATTTTGTTCTCGCTCGGTTAGCACGAGGCCACCAGAGGGCAATCAATGAAAACAGTGGCAACTGGCAGCTCAAAGAGACGAGCAGGCGACTTATTTTGAACTATGAATTCGGCATCATTTGATATTTTGAGGATTATTTGAATGCTAGTCTGCCTTGAGAATGGCAGATGAGCTACTGCTGCCACCCAGATTAGCTTCACAGTGCGATAGTTGACATTAGAACCCTTGCTGCCGATGCCATTTCGCTTTTCAGCCTTTGAAAAAGGAGCTCACATCCAGTGTATGAACGTAGCAATTGTAGGTAATCTGCAAAGACATCTCCATCACCCCTCGCATACATGCAAGCTCGGATCTAGAAGACGAGTCCAGACTTTCCTTTCCGCGTTGGTAATACAGCTTTATATGCTGTGCAACCAGGCCCTGAGAGTATTCTCCGGCTCTAACCACCAATCAATCTCTAGTTTACATGCGCTTTTGTCATCGAATAAGAGGTAAAAATACATTTAGACGAGAATAAAAGCATCTAAGGGTACAAGTCAGACACTGTCCAATGATAGCTCTAGTGGAATGGTTGATACCGAATACAGCCTGAGAATTGCTATCAAATTCTGAGTATGGTTGGCATAATGAAACTCCTCTACTTATGAAACTAACAATAGGATATCCTAGTATTTTGATAATTTCGGTCAATAATCTCACTGGGGTAGTTATATTAATATCATCACAATGCACGTAAGTAGCTTGTCAGTGAGGTCTGGTAAGCTCGCTTTCCGCCCTTCCTCTATGTTAAGAAGCAGCTATCAAGCGCTAAAGTAGGTCCTTTTTGCACGAACCGAGTAAGATATCGACACGCGCAACTGTTTCTGTTGGTTGCAACGATCATGAAGTAGTCGCCCCATGGCTGGCTAGTCACAAATCGCGGCCTCCTCATCTCTTAACTACTCCTTCTACTCTTCCTCGTCCCTCGTATCTCTGCTTTGTCTACTCTCCTCGTCGGCTGGATGATATCGCCCAATCGGGTAGTTGGTCTTCCTGATGCCCCAAAACAGACATTTCACGCTGGATGGCACGTGATGTCGAATTTCAACCTCATTTTCCATTGTTTTCGATTTACGATTTTGCGATGAATATAAAAAACATGAGGAGAAGCTCTACGATAGCTTCTTCTTTGTCTCTCTTTTCAGGATGGCAAAGTTGAGAAATAGTCCATATTGCGATGTCTGGAGCAATTTTGTGAATGGAGTCCAGTCGAAGCTTGCTAAGCTCGCCGACCAGAGTCGCACCAATGTGATATCTCTCAAGCATAGCTCTGCACGTACGAGGTATAACTCGTCAACCAATGCCTTGTGAGAGGCAGGCATCATGGCTGGAAGACAAAGCTACTCTCCCTTGCTGGCTGAAAATTTGGCCATGTTTTGGGAGGGAAAAGGCTGTTTCTTTTTTGGATTTCTCACAGCTCACATGGAGAACTAATTTAGTTATGGCTCAAGTAGCCACTGAGAAATCTGGCCTTGCCTGCCACGCTCTACTTTCTTGCATGGAACTTGTTTCTTCAGCAAGCCTTCTCTTCCGTCCTCTTTTTTTCGCTGCATGCATTGTCTAGCATGGCTGCGGCTGCATATTCGCGTCGGGTGTGTGGCCGACTTGATTTCATGGCTTACAGACAAGCTTCTCCAAGGGGTGGAGCCGATATTGCCTCAGGAATATCGGTGCTACCGGTGCAGCATCAGACTTTACTCGCATCAAGGAACGAATTCTAAGATGACAGGATAAGGTACCGGACTCTCCACACTGGACTCTTTGGCTATGCTTCAGTGCAGCGTTTTCGAGATTTGCTGGTACCCCTACGTCGTAGGATCGAAAGAGTCTAAATTGCCAGCCTAATTTTGGGGCCACTTCTCGATTGCAGCCATTGGCTCAAAATACCCTCTCTTACATTTCTATCCAGACTGACTACGCCGAACATGCTGTTGAGGTTACTCAAGACCGTATATCTTACTTAAAAAGAACGGGACATGTTGCAGTGGTTTTCGTCAGAATTTGAACGGTACATCCGTAGGCGATGCCAGTAGATATTCCCATTGGATATCTAACCACTGTATATCCTCTTTATTTGGCAGGGATTTCCTTGTATGATGGCGCCACGGCAGTGACGGCAAGGTATGGTGGTATCTCTGCCAGTGGTGTGCAACAATGTAGAGGATACGGGGTAGTTATATAGAGCAGAGCCTTTTCTCTAGAGTTCAATTTAGCCAGCAAGAGTTGAGCTGCCTCCTGTCTAGCCTATCCTTTACCCAACTGCTAGAGGAGAGACATTTATTCTGATTGTTTCCCCGGCACAATGGTTTTCTCTGAAAAGGAAAACTCCAACTTGAAGGATGAAAGCAACAACACTGGATTCCAAGTTGACCTTGAGAACTCTGCGTCGTTGGACCAGAAAGCCCAAGTCCATAATGGAGACTCAATCCAGTCTGATGACTCCTCAAGTGAAACCCCTCCCATCAAGACCCTTAAGATCGAACGCAGTCTACGCCAATTCGAACTATGGCTAGGTCGAAAATTCAACATTGAGACTCGAGGAATTGAACGAGTAGAGGAGGAAGATAAAGAGCCACCCCCGCTCCGAAACACATTCCTAATGTGGTGGAGTATGTTTTGCAACCCGGGAGGCCTACCCATAGGTATTCTTGGAGCGCAATGGGGTCTTTCCCTGCAGGAGGCAGTAATTGGCACTGTTTTCGGTACAATTATAGGAGCGATATTGGTGGCATGGTGTGGTGTAATGGGCTCAAAGGTAAGCGACTTCCCAGTCTATCATTATTACTTAGGCTTACATGCTCCCTGTACCTAGCTTGGACTACGTTCCATGGCGACTTGCAGATACTCGTTCGGATACCATGGTGCTAAACTAATATCTATCTTGAACTTGCTCCTGGGTATCGGGTACGCTGTCATCAGTACCACCGTTTGCGGCCAGTTGTTGCCAGCTGCGGCGGACTACAGGATCTCAACCAGCGTCGGCATCTACATTGTGTCCGCCCTATCCCTCTTTATCTCTTTCTTCGGCTTCTCACTTATTCACAAGTTCGAGAGTTACTCATGGATACTTGCATTTGTCCTTTTCTGTGTCCTCCTCGGACAGACAGTGCCATACATGACCCCCGAAATGGTCCAGTTCAACCCTCACCGACCAGGCTTTGCAGCTACTTTCCTGTCATACCTCTCGTTCACTGCAGCTGGCACATCTGGCTGGGCTACAGCCATCGGCGACTACTACTGCCACTACCCTAAGACAGTTCGCCCCTGGAAAATCATGGTATTAACCATTGCCGGGTTTTCTGCTTCGTCTGCCTTCGTGTCCATTGTCGGAACCTGCGTTGGACTTGTTGCCCTTCAGTCACCAGAACCCCGCTTGCAACAGGCATATGCCTTGCATGGCTTGGGAGGAATCGTACAGGAAATATCACACCCAGCCGGATGGGCCAAGTTCCTTGTTGTCATGATGCTGTTCACTGTCCTCGGGGGCTTGATCGCAAACTACTACTCTGCCGGACTGTCTATCCAGATCCTAGGCCAACACTTCCGTTACATCCCACGTTTTATCTGGAGTTTCGTCATTGCGGTGCTCATTACTGTGCTGTCTCTACTGGGCAAGGACCACATTGTTGAGCTGATTGGAAATCTAGGCAACATGCTTGGATATCTGACCGCCGGTTACTCTGTTATTGTGTTCATGGAGGACCAATGGTTCAGAAGGCGCGATGGGTACGACTTGAAGGCATGGAATAACAAGCACAAACTCCCATGGGGGCTGGCCGCTGTGGGGTCGGTGATTGTGTCCTACGGCGCTGGCGCTGTACCGGGAATGAACACAACCTGGTATATCGGACCTATTGCTGCTTTGTTCGGTAACCCAGCGGGCGATGTTGGTCTTATCCTGAACACCGTCTTTACTGCTGTTACCTACTTTATCTTCCGAACGATCGAGAAACACTTTGTAGGACGGTAGCCGGCCTATTCTTGGACAGAGGCGAAGGCTTTGCACATGGCATTTCACGGCCTTTTTCAGAGACGAGTGAGGTAGAATTAATTTACTTTGACAGTATATACATATCTCTCAGTTTACAGTCTATAACGTAGCAATAAAAAATGTCTAGTTCTTCTTTAACTACCTACTCAGTCACTCTCGCTCTAGATATACCTACCCAAGCCTCACCTGTCAACGCCCAACCGTGTAATGTCACCTCTACCTCCTTCCCTGCTCCTAGAATCAGCCCCCACGGTCAAGCGATGAAACGTCAGAGTACCAAGCATTGCTGTTCATCGGCAGGCGTCATCTTGCCTGTTCCATTCTCATGAGACATGCTGGCCAAATGCTGTGAAACGAGGTGACGACAAGTCGTCGATCAGCCAGGGATACCCCCTGCTACACCATCTCCACCGCCATGACGGTTGGAAGGGATAACAGGACGCAATTGATTCTTCGGCAAACCCGCCGAGACATCTTATCAGGCATAACATTCTCGACTTGCGTGTCTTTCAGGAAAACGCAGGGCAAGAAGATTGACCAAGTGACACAGGATCAATAAGCTACCCGGCGGGACACTGGGGCCTGGGCTACGGATAGTTATGGATCGGTCCTACGAAGAAACGGTCTGAGAGAAGCAGAACGGAAGGCAACTTTGAACATATTAACGTTTTTTTATTTATTTTTTTGGTATTCGATTTCTTTCAAAGGATTATTTAAACGCAAAAGATAGCACATCTGGGGGACATTAGAAAGAATTCTGTTGCTGCTGGAGCCGCCAGAGACAGCCGGGGGCTTTCTGAGCCTCCCTTCCACTTAAAATGAGTAAGAAAAATAGAAAGATAGCAAGGGAAGATATCAACACAATCCATTTATTCCGATGGTCGATCTGTCCGTCTGCTCTGTCTGATGGAGTTTGTTCTGTGGTCGGATGTTTCTTGGTCGGTGAACCAATTGGTTTCATGTGCAGGCTTTGATTGTGGTACAGAGCGACGGGACCGCGGAAAAGGTGAATCCCAGGCTGCGTGCAGGGCTTTTGTGTATGTGAAAGACAGGCCGAGTGGCGGAAAAGAGAGAAGGGAGCAGAACAGATAACGCAAAAACAGCCCCCCCGTTGTGCCTTGATTCCCATGGTTTACAGTTCCGGTTGACGCCAATGATTGTTGCTAGTTCGAGTAAAATGCATCGTGAAAGGGGACTGAAGGAAAAAAAATCTTGGTATCTTGAAAAAGGAAATGAACGGGATAGAAGAGGGTGCTGGACAAATCTCGAAAAGTGGAATATGAGGGGGTATCAGTTTTGGTATTTCGAGCGGTCTGATGTGTTCTCGAGGACGATCATAAGAGATACTGAAGGGCTTTTTCTGTGAAAAGCGAGGAATGAGATTTGGTGCAAGGGTAAGTAGGAGGGTAGACGACCGTGAAATAGTAGCAGCAGGTAGATAGGCTCGAACTGTAGTAAGACTGGATCGTAAAAAGGATATTTCATCCTGGTCATGATAAAGGTGGAAGTAGAACGTATCAGATCAACGGTCATCCGGATCAGGGTTCGTCAACTAATACCTGGTTAGTATGGGAGTACAGCCGGTTTTTTTCTGACAATGAATGAAGAAAGGGAGATGGGGGAAAATATTATTCAACTTACTCGCAATACTGGGCGAGAATAATCCTGGTTATCCTGCAGAGAAACGTTGCTATGACGGCCTCCATGGGAATAAACCAAGGCATCCTTCTTCATTCGATGATCGGTGAAAGCGGGGATACTCAGGCGGGCTGTGCTACCTCTACTACCTGCTGTAGTACCATTCCCATTAGCAACTGGCGTAGTTCTCATGGCTGGGACGCGGCTGTTTAGAGTGCTTTCAAAAATGGGCTGAGGAACTGGGGATTCGTGGAAAGGCGAACGGTAACTATCATCAATCTTAGCCTGTTGGCGGCGACGGAAGCAGAAGAGCCATAAGATGATGGCCGTGAACATGGCGAATACAGCCAAAGTGCCGATGATGATGCCAGCAATGGCACCGCCAGATAACGAGGAACCGCCACTGCTAGCCGGAGGGCTAGTCTGGGCTGGCGAGTTCGGAACCGTGATGGTAGTCACCTGCCCTTCGACAGTGGTGATCGAAAAAGTAGGATCGGTAGTTGTCGATTCGGATGACGATGTTGTTTTTGATGTTTTGGTAGACTGTATCAGAAAACGTTAGTCCAGGGATATTCGAATTCAATTAACAAGTTTCAAACAAAATAAAAAAGCCGGAGTTTTCAAATCAAAGCAGATGAGAAAAGAAAAGAAATCCGTCTCTTTCTTGGGGGGAGGAGTAGTAGCCCTACAGAAGAAGATGTAGAAGAGGATGAAGATGAGGATGATGAAGATGACGATGAAGTTGAGGTGGACGACTCTGTAGTGGTGCGAGTAACAGTGCTCACACTAGTCCTGCTTGTGGTCTGTACACTTGATGTCAACATCAACTGTGTTGACTGGGATGGAATGTCTTTTTCTGGGCTTGTAGGGGACTGGGATTGAGGTGCAGAGGAAGATGATGAAGATGAATAAAAGGACGAAGAATGGGACCCCCCCATGGCAGCAGTGGTTGTAATAGTAGTAATAGTTGTGAAAGGTGAAGAGAACTGAGTGCTACTAACCGACGAGGTGGTGGTCGCAGTGGCGGACGGGTTACCAATCGTCGTGGACGGCTTCTTGTCGAGCATCACATAGGCATAGAGGCCTTCAGAGGTGCTTCCACACTTGTCGTCTGGGTATCCAGGGCAGTTCTGGTTGCAGTTTTTATTCGGGACGGTGTCTTTGGGAGCAGCATTCGAGCACCAGCAGGTTTTACCCTGAAGGACTGCAAACGCGTATCGGCCTCCGCATGTCTTCTGACACGCTCCAATGGACTGGAAGCCATCGACAACTATTTCCATGTCAGTTTAGATATTGATAATAGAGGAGATGTAAGAAAATAGGGTATATATATAGGTTTATGCTTACCAGAGTCGAAAGATGCTCCTGTATTGAAATCGGCGCAGTAGTCGAGGCCGACGGCCGCAGCAATAGCTGGATACAAGATGAGGAATGACAAGAGCAGAGATATCAGTTTGCCATGGGGGTAGGGAGCCATGTTTTTATATGGCCACCAGGGGGTTCTCTTGTTTCTCACAGAACAAACTTGCTTGCAGACTGGCAGCTAAGCTGTTAGCAGGGGGGTTTTTGATGCTTGGGAATAGGTGCAAGGGCAGGGTATATGGGCAGGTGAGAGGGCAGATGTGAAGGGTAGCAGACAGACATTCAGAGCCACAGGTGCATAAAGAGGAGGAAGAAGAAGAAGAGAAGGAGAAGAGAAGGAAGAAAAGAACAGTCAAAGAGGATGTGTGTTCCTTGACTTCTCGGCTTCTCGGCGGAGAGATGGAAGAGGGGCTTGATCAGGCTGATGACCATGGCGATGGAGGCAGCAGACAGAAGTGGTGATAGTAGTGGTGGTGGTGGTGGTGGTGGTGGTGGTGGTAGAGAGTAATAGGGGCAGGAGTAACAGGAGCAGGAGGTTGTAGACTCACAGGCACAAACACAAGGCAGAAGAAGTCAGGAACAGCATCAACTTCTCATAACTTGCTTGCAAAGGAGTCTTTTCTATAAAATTCACCAGGAGGGATCAGCCAGATTCACAGCCAGCATCAAACCACCAGGTCCCTTGTTCCAGCCAGCAGAGACAGCCAAATATCCAGCCAACAATGGGCTCCCTGGCGGTCTATCATATAAGACTTGACGGCAACTTACACCATCCGCGAGTGCTGACTTCAACAGACGACGAGATAAAAAAGAGAGAAAAGGAGAAAGACGACGGCCGGACAGTTCTTTGGACCCTACACAACGTCCATCCGGAGCGACGGCCGTCTGGGTTCGTTCGATCGAAGAGCGGTTTCTCCTGATCTATAGGCCGCCGTGCATAACTGACGACGAGGGCCGCGCAGAGACGACGGAAGAGCCGCGAGAGTGCGAGGTGTCCTTCTCCTGCTCCTTTTATTTTATTTTTCTTTTTGGCCGTCTTTGACTGTTAATCTTCCTGTCTTCCACGGGCCCAGCGAGAGGAATTGCTGCGAGACGGACAAGCACCCACTCATTTTTCGCGGGTAACAACGTCACCCAGGGCCGGGATAGCTCAACGGGAATATTTTAATAAGAATCAATATAGCGAGCGAGGCGAGACGAAGCCAACGAGCGACTGAACGAGTCTATTATCTATATCTAGGGACGAAGAGCGAGAGATGCGAAGACAGAGGACGAGAGCGACAGTCAATAGAGAGAGAGAGAGAGACAGAGAGCAAGAAGTTGGAAGAAGGAGACGAGGACGAGGACGAGGAAAAGCGGCCGGCCTGGCGGAAGGTTTTCTGGTCCGCCAAGTGTACCTTTTTTCCACTCTGGCTCTGGCTCTGGCTCTGTCCAGGCCGAAGACTTCGTATCTTTCTTTCCTTGCGGCGGCTGTATGTCTCTGATGGCGACTGCTGCGCTCTCTCTGGCCGCTGTCCTGGCTCAATGGCTCGTCGGGCGTATAGCAAGCTCGTCGCGAGTTTCACCCGAAGGACGGTGACATCTACAAACTACGACAAACAACTAGACTACGACATCGCGATGCGTTCAAGCCACCCCCATTTCATTCCGCGGCCCTGCGCAGCCAGAGCTTGACCTCTCTCTCAATACGATATTCTTATTATTATCTAAGACAAGATGGCCTCTTTTCAATAAATGAAATCAAGCCGGAAGTGCACGGTGCTTAAGGACGAAGGAACGGGAGATCCGAAATTAATAGTCGAGCGGATAACGAGCCCACAGGAGATGCACACAATAATACCCCCATATTATTGATTTTCTCCCCGTCGGACAAGAGCAAAGCAGGAGGTTCCCGGTTGCTGTCTCGCCCTGCTTTGCTTCTTCCTCTTCTTCTTCTTCTACGGAGTGCTGCTGTTTACGACTTCTCCTCCTACATACGCCCCTAGATGCATGCTTTGCATCAGACGCGCTGTGCTGGGGCTAGTCAGGCCGCTCACAGCCCGTCGAAAGAGACAGCGAAAAGGAAGAAACCGACCAAAGAGACTGAAGAGCTGCCAGCACGAGCTCGGGTTCCGCTTCCCCTGTCACCTTTTGACGCCTGTTAGCTTCAATGGTCGCAAGCCGAGCACCGCCCATATACCCACCCACCTTCACCGATCTCGATCTCATC